TCTGTTATTTTAGTGTTCTGAATTTGGTTTATGTCCATTGCTAGAGAGCTGATGTTCCCCTTTGAGAGTGTGATTTCCATTTGATTCTTCATACTTCTGGAGTTCTTTTGGTGATTCCTTCCTATCTGTATCAGCTCTTGCTTCTTACCTTTAGATTTTTGTTTGAATAATGACACTCCTTGTTTAGTCTCTGAGCCAGTAGGTGGTGTTTTTGGTTGACATTTGACCACACCCTGTATGATGAGTCAGTGGATGTACTTAATGGGTGTGCAGAATGACCTCCTGCGCATGGCACTCCTGTGGGAGGACAGTTGCCACTCAAGCATGGTGATCTGCCCCTGAAGGCACACACACCTCAGTAGGCTTGTTCACAAATATTCCTTCTGTGTCCTGGGGTAATGTGATCAAGCCCTGGGTGTATGGGATCTCATCTGCAGGCCTGTCTCCTGGCCCCCAGAGAACAATCTCTGACCATGCCAGGGAAAGGAGTATTGGTCTCAAGTCACCTACAGGGTGCCCAAGCTGGATCCATGTCTCTCCCCCTCAGGATTTGCCCCACTCTCCTGGAGTCATCCGTGGAGTCTCTTATATTTTCAGACACCCTTCTTTCCAACCCTCATCTGATCTGTGTTTGTCTGCCTGTTTATTTATTTATTTTTTTCACTTTCTTCTAAAATTTGTCTTTTTTGCAGAGACACTCTGGCTGGCAGTTTTTTTGGTCCACCCTCTTGCCCCTCTGAAATACAGCTTTTTAATGGGTATGGGTTTTATGATTTTTTTATTATATGAATAGGTCACGGTATACACATTGCTCTGCAACGTGCTCTTTTCTCTTAAGAATAAGTCTTAATAATCTTTCCATATCAGCATAGATCTACCGCCTTCTTCTAAACTGTTGCAGGATATTCCATTATATGAATATCCTCTTTGTTTAGTTAACCAACTCCTTTGATGGACCTGATCTGTTAATTTCCCCTCTAGTGAGATGATATAATTTGCATATATTTAGCTCATTTCTTCTTCTGTTTTTAGTTAAAATAATTTAGACTTTGAGTTCCAGATTATTATTGTTTAATACTTTATCTTCTCTATGAATAATTATTTATGACATTTTTAGCTGTAATCCTATTTTCCTTAATTTTTTCTGGTATATTTTGAGTCCTATTAATCTAAAAGTTTAATCTTTTTTGACATAGAGAAATTTTTATCTGTTATTTCTTTGGCATTATTATCCTTCTGCCTTTTCTCTCCTTTTGAGTGTGTGTGTTTTTGTGTGTGCGTGTGTGTGTATCTTTAGTCTCTTCCCCATGTCTCTCAAGTTTTCATTTATTATCTTCAACTTTCTCTTATCTATTAGTTCTGGACGAATTTCTTAAAGTAGTAGCCTTTGGAATAATTGATTCATTTTTTGGCATTATCTAATATGCTGTTCACTGCCTCTGTTACATTTTAAAAATTAAGTAATTGCATTTTCATTAGAAACCAGTCCTTCTGGATCCTAGAGAGTTCTCTTTTCATAAACTCAGTGTCCTCTCAGGTATTGTTGAGAGTATACTTTTTAAAAAAAATTCGCTAATCCATTTATTAAGATATCACTGTGTGCCAGGAATTTGTAGAAGAATCATAGTTGAGGGAATCCATATGAATATTTAATATGATTTTAAGAAAGTATTATTTAAAATGACAGTGAAAGCTCAAAGAACTCAAGCAAGTCAGCAAGAAAAAAATCAAATACCCCTAATTGTAATAAAAAGTGGACAAAAGACACGAACTGGAGCTTCTCAAAAGAAGAAGGACAAATGGCTAATAAACATGAAAAAAATGTTCAACATCACTAATCATCAGGGACATGCAAATTAAAACCACAATGAGATATCACCTTACCCCAGTTAGAATGGCATTTATCAAAAAGTCTAAAAACAATAGATGCCCACATGGATGCAGAGAGAAAGGAACACTTATACACTGTTGGTGGGACTGCAAATTAGTACAACCTCTATGGAAAACAGAATGGAGATTACTCAGAGAACTAAAAGTAGACCTACCATTTTATCCACTAATCCCACTATTAGGTATTTACCCAAAGAAAAAAAGACTTTTCATCAAAAAGACACCTGCGCTTGAATGTTTATTGCAGCACAATTCACAGTTGCAAAGATGTGGAATAAACCTGAGTGCCCATCAATTCATGAGTAAATTAATAATATGTGGTATATGTATACCATGGAGTACTTCTCAGACTTTATAAAAAGAGAGTGTACTTTTAAAAAGTTTATTCCAGTTTTTTGCAGTGAAATAGTTTCATAGGTAGACACTTGCTCTGATTCTTTAGAGTGTATTTCCTTTAAAAACTACTTGTTCTTTTTCATATAGCTGGTTGATTTTCTCTGTTTATTCATCTTCTTGGAAGATAGTCTTTGAGTTTTAGAATTTGAGATGGGTTTTTATCAGATTTGTCTCCTAGTTTGAGACTAAGAGTAATCTATATGTTCTATAGTTTTGATTAATTTATCACTTTCCTTTTGTTTCTTCTTACCCATCTCCAGATGAGGAAAATAGTTATTTAGAATAAATTGGAAGAGTCCTCTAGCTAGAGACATTTGTGAGGGAGGAGAGAGTCTTGCTACTGTGCTGAAGGGCTTCTTACCCACATTTGTTGTAGCTGCTTGAAATTACCCAGAGCACTGACACTCTTCTCTAATGGCACAGAGACCCTCATTTGTAGCCTGATATTGAAAAAAACAGAAAACCATATCATGTGAAGAATAATTAGAGGAAGTCAAGTTATTTGGTCTAGAGTGGGAAAGATTTAAAGGAGATGTAATAACTGCCTTCAATAGCTAAAGGGTTGTCACAAGAATGATTAGACTTGTTCCTTGTAGTTTCAAGTGGTAGAATTATGTTAGAAGGGTATTGTCTTACCTTCTTGGAAGGAAGGTTACTATAATTGACACAGTGGCTGATTTAAATATTTGTTGACTCCAAATTTCAGCCATTCATTCAGATATAACCCTCACATTTAGATGTTACCACTTGATACCAACATGCATGCACAAGTGACCACGTGCCTATGTGAGGTACTAGAAGGAGGCTTCTATAATTACTGGCTGTGTCATTTGCTCACAGAGGTATTATCCTCCAACAGCTGCTGCTTTCCATTCCTACCCTCTTTTATTTTTATTTTTTATAATTACCTGACCTCAATTTCTGGATACTTAAGGTGGTAGTTATTACCTTCATCTGCATGAGCTCTTCCCATCCCTTTCTCCTGATATTCCTTTAGATGGTTTTGTAGGCAGAATAAAATGTCCATGTCCTAATCCCCAGAACTTGTAAATATGTTACCTTGCATGATAAAGGGGAATTAAGATAACAGATGGAATTAAGGTTGTTAATCAGTTTAAGTTAGAGCAATTATCCTAGATTATCAGAGCAGGCCCAATGTAATAATAATCCTTAAATGTGGAAGAGGGAGACAGAGGATAATGTGATTTGAGAAAGACTTGGCTGGCTATTGCTGGCTTTGAAGGTAGAAGGGGTCACAAACCAAGAAATGTGGGCTGCCTCCAGTATGTAGAAAAAGCAAGTAAATGGATTCTCTACTAGAACCTCCAGAAAGTAGCACAGCCCTGCTGACACCTTGATTTTTAGCCCAGTAACCCATTTTGTACTTCTGACCTCCAGATCTATAATAATAATAAATTTGTGTTGTTTTAAGCCATTAAGTTTGTGATAATTTATTATAGCAGCAATAGGAAACTAATACACATTTCTGAGAAGATCCAAAGCCATATTCCAGAAACAGTAAGAACTGTTTCTTGGTATTTCTGTTAGCCAGAAACTTAATGTGTGTATTGATGAACCCTTGTATTCAACCATCGGATAGTCATTTGTTTGTGCAAATATACCTCCGTTTCTCCAATATTTCTCATTGACCTACTTTTTGGTCATCTAGGTTCTAGTCAATAAGAGAAGGCTGTACAAGAAGCAACCCAATGAGGTGAAGCTTACAGGGGGGATAATGTCACTCAGTATAAGGAAGAATTTCTTGTTAAAGCCATTCAAAGATTGGGTTGTATTTGGAGGTTTGTATGGCAGGAACTAAACAACTATTTCATGGAGATATTAAAGAGAGTATTCAAGGATTGGTTGAGGTGTTGGACTAGGACAGATTTTATGGTTCTTAAATCTTAAGAACCTGAGGAAGACATATTACTGAGGATCTGGTGGGACCCCTGTGTACAGATGGGCAAATTATGCCTACACAAGTCCTCTAGCCAAAGCAGCCAATGGAATCCATCTCGTTCTTCATTTGGAAGCTGTACATTCTGCCTATGGAGCTTTTGTGCCCTGAGGCAGAGGCAACCTTTGGCTAATTCATATAAAGATATTACCTACTTTTACCATAATATATATGCTTGAAGGGCTACATTCACCCAAAGAAGGCACCTTTTTTTCTCTAATTTGCACAAAGGGGCTGGATGGGCCAACACAAACCCAGCACTTCTAAATGGTGCTATTGGTACATTCTCCTAACTGATATATTCTAATAACATATCTAGTTGGGAAGAGAAACTAATAAATGAATAAACTAGTAAGTATCTGTATTTCAGAGCCAAATAAATATGATCTCTTTTGGGAGTTAATTTTATAAGTTAGTAGCAAATGGGGAAAGTAAAACTCTTAAGTATTAGAGATTAAGAAGAGAGGGTATATCTATTCAAGGTGTTCACAGAGAAGTCAGAACATCTCTCTCTGATTTGTAAGGCTGGTCATCTACCCATATATGTAAGGATAAATAATACCAGGGTCTTCAAAGGCACAGGAGATATACATGGGCACTTTCTGCAGTTTGAAGCAGTTTCCGCATTCCTAGCTGAGTCCCAGCTGGCCAAGATTGTCCTTGATGCTGCAGACAGTACAGGTAGCTAGATATATCTGGAGGTGGCTGTGGAGCTGGACAATACACAGATTTATGCCCTGTTTGTGTATTCCTTTAGACGTCATTTGAGATGAATCACGAGACCCTGTACTTGGCAGTAAAGCTGGTGGATCACTACCTAATGGAGGTAGTATGCAAGAAGGAGAAGTTACAACTCCTCGGTTGTACTGCTTTTCTGATTGCAGCAAAATTTGAGGTGAGCCTGAGTCCATAAGACCTGGAGAGAACTAATCAGATTTCTATCTAAAACAGTGAATGGATATTATACAGTTATATGCTGTGTAACAACCTTACAGTTAATGATGGACTGCTTATAGGACCATGGTCCCATGGGATTATAATGGAGCTGAAAAATTTCTATGCCTGGTGACATCTCAGCTATTGTAACATTGTAACACAATGCATTACTCATGTGTTATTTATGGTGATGATGGTGTAAACCTGTACTGCCAGCCATATAAAAGTATAGCACATACAATTATGTGCAGTACATAATACTTGATAATAAATGACTGTTACTTTTTTATGTATTTACTGTGCTATACTTTTAATCCTTATTTCAGAGTATATTTCTTCTATTTATTAAAAACAATTAACTGTAAAACAGCCTAAGGCAGGTCCTTCAGGAAGTATTCCAGAAGAGGGCGTTATCATAGGAGATGACAGCTCCATGTGTGTTACTGCCCCTGAAGGCCTTCCAGTGGGACAAGATGTGGAGGTGAAAGACAATGGTATTGATGATCCTGACCCTGTGTAGGCCTAGGTTAATACGTGTGTTCGTGTCTTAGTTTTTAACGAAAAAGTTCAAAAAGTAAAAAAAAAAAAAAATTTAAATAGAAAAATCTTATATAGTAAGGATATAAAGAAAGAAAATGTTTTTGTACAACTGTACAATGTGTGTGTGTTTTAAGCTGTTATTATAGGAGTCAAAAATAAAATTAAAGTTTATAAAATAAAAAAGTTACAGTAAGCTAAGGTTAATTTATTATTGAAGAAAGAAATTAAAAAAATAAATTTAGTGTAGCTGAAGTATAGAGTGTTTATAAAGTGTACATTAGTGTACAGTAGTGGCTTCACATTCACTAGGGCTTCACATTCACTCACCACTCACTCACTGAATCACTCAGAGCAACTTCCAGTCCTGCTGGCTCAATTCATGATAAGTACCTTATACTGGTGTGCCATTTTTTATCTTTTATACTGTATTTACTGTAACTTTTCTATGTTTAGCTATATTTAGATACACAAATACTTAGCATTGTATTACAATTATCAGTGGTATTTAGTATAGTAACATGGTGTACAGGTTTATAGCTACTAGGTATGTAATAGGCTATACCCTGTAGGTTTGTGTGAGTACACTCTATGATGTTCACACAAGGATGAAAATGGTACATTTCTCAGAACATTAAGTGACGCATGACTGTGTATCTATTCATACATATATACACACACATATATGTATGTGTACATTTGTTTATACAATTACATACAAACATACAAATAATTTTCTCCTACCAAATTTTTTGTCTATTTTCCTAAAGCAAGGAAGCTGGTGTTGTTTGGCAATGACATTGTATTTGCTCTCTGGCATCAGCAAGGCTTTTCCATTTCCTCTTTGAAGGTGTGTTATGTGGGCATGTGCCTAATTAAATGGGTAATTCTTTTTAAAGCTGCTTTCTGGTCCATGATTCCTGCCTCCCCCCTTTTCTTGTTCCAACAACTCCATCCCCATCTGGTGGAGTCTTGGTCTGCTTATATAACAAAGCATTTCCAAATTAGGGTGATGGACACATTTAAGATAAAATAGCCTGGTATAGATGGTAGTGAGTCTAAACGGTCCAGATGAAATAGTAATTTTGGAAGTAGCAATATAAAAGTGAGCAGCTAGGTTTTTCTTCACAACCATAATCCATCTAGGTAACCTCTCTGATTCTTTCTCCCTCCCTAGGTGCTAATTGATCTTGTTCAACTCTCATTTTTCCTTCAACTGTGCTAGTTGTATAAAACCTTAGCGTTTGGGTACAGAGAGGTATCAACTTTTACAAAGGAGTTCAAAGACCTGTGGAGACTGGGTTTTTTTTTTTTTTTTTTTGTATTGGCTCACTCCTTTTACCCACCTTGCTCCCATGGGTTTGCTGCCCCCTTCTTGCTTGCTCTGTTCCTTCTTCCCTTCTTCATCTCTCCTCTCTCTTCCTCCCCCTCCCTCCTTAGGGTTTGGGTACAGAGAGGTAGCAACTTTTACAAATGAGTTCAAAGAGCTATGGGGACTGGGGGGGTGGTTTTTGTGTTGGCTCCCTCCTTTTACCCACCTTGCTCCCACAAGTTTGCTGCCCCCCCTTGCTTGCTCTGTCCCTTCTTCCCTTTTCTCCTCTCCCTTCCTCCCCCTCCCTCCTTCTCCCCTCAGATTGCTGACCCCTTGCCTTGTTCCTGCCCTCCCTAATGTGTTCCCTCCCTCCTTTCCCTCCTACCTTCCCTTCCCTGCTTGTTTCCCTCCCCTTACTACCCTTCCCCACCTCACCCACTCCTTCACTGCCCCCTCACTCTAGCTGGGCCCTTTCACTTAAACCCTCCCTCCATTGCTTTATTCCCCTCCCCCATTCCCCTGATTGCTTCCCTTCTTCCTCCTTTCCCTCCTTATTTCATCTTCTCCTTCCCTCCCTGGATCCCTTTCTCTCTGCTTGTCTACTCCCTCACTCCCTGGCTCACTAGCTTCCTCCTTCCCTCCCTCCCTGGCTTGTTTGCTCTCTGGATCCTTCCCTCCCTGGCTCCTTCCCTCTCTCCATTGCTCTCCCCTTAGCTCAGTCTTTCTCTTTCTTCCTTGCTAGCTCACTGGCTTGCTCCATCTCTCCCTCCCTAGCCTGTGGGACCTCTCTCACCCTCCACCTTCTGCTCCCATGCTCCCTCCCTCCATCCTTCCTTTTCTCCTTCCCTCCTTTTCTCTGGATGGCTCCCCCTCTTACCCTACCCTTCCCTTCCTAGCTCTCACCCTTTCTAGCTTGCTAACCCCCTCCCTTCCTCTCTCACCTGATCTTTCCATTCCACCCTCCCTTAATCTTTCTCTCCTTCTCTTTTTCCATGCCCTACTTTCTCACCCATTTCTTACTCCTCCCTTACCACCCCCTGCCCACCTCACCTCCTCCCTTGCTCCCTCCTTTGCCTGCTTTATCCCTTCATCTCTGACTTTCTCCCTGGATGGGTCTCCTTGTGGCTTGAAGAGACACCCTGTGCCTTAGCCACAGCGATGTTAAGAACACAGCTGATAGTTTCTGGCCAACTGAAAGAGGAAGGGAGGGTGGAAGAGGAAGAGAGGGAAAGGAAAGAGGGAGGGGCACTTCTTAGCAAATCTTGGGACTTGGAGCACCCTGTCTCTGTTGTCCAGGACAGAGAAGCCCCTACTCGGTCCTATGGAGAAGGGGCGTCTTCCCCTCACAGACTTTTGTAAGGGGAAGTTGGGGAAGGGATGAGGAGAGAAGAAAGGAGGGAACAGTTGGGTAACAGAGCAGTAGAAAGGGGAGATCTTTCCCTGGTGTTCCTACTAGTTTGCTGTGTGAATCTGAGCATGACACTTCTCTCTGGGCCTCGATTTCTTCGTCTGTAAAACAGGAGGGTTGGTCCAGTCTCTGATCTAAAAATGGAGAAGGAAAAGGTGGGGGAAGAAGGCTGGGGTGGGTACTGAGCTGCAGGTAGGGAACAGAGCTGGGGGTCTTCCTGTCTCCTCATCTCTCCAAAACCAAGGTTTAACCTCCAAAGGACAGGTTATCAGAAGGTGCTCCAAGGTTCTTCTCACATGCCCTCAGCCCGGCTTTTCCCTGTCCTGTCCCCATGGGCATTTGCACATTCTCTGCTTAGGCTCCCTCTGTGCCTATCTGCCTCAACTTCCTCTCTCTCACTACCTGGTACCTGATGTTGCCCTCCTCAAATATCCTTACTCATTCCTTAACTGTCTAAGACACAAAGTACAGGTTCATTTTCTATCTCTAGTTCCCCTTTCTGTGGCCTCCTTCACTCCTTCACCCCAGCCAAGCCTTAGATTTACCTTTTGTGGTTCTCAGAGGACAGACCGTTGCTCTCAGGCCCTATGCCCTATTGTGTTGTTTCTGGTACTATATGAATCCGCCCCAGGAGGGTCCTCTCTCTGCTGGTAGTACAGTTTGGGGACAGGCTTCTCCTTACCTTTCTTTAGTTTTGTTTTTCTGATGAGCCACTCATATCACCCAGAAGCTGGCTTTTAGATCTGCCCTGCTGTTTTATGCCAGGAAATGTGATTGCCTTCTATCCTTCACCCGTCTCCCCTTCCTTTCACCTCTAAGCAGAGAAGAGAGGGCTGTCTGCCTGGTTGTGACTGCATCTCCTCTCCACCCATAGGAGATCCACCCACCTAGTGTGGATGATTTCCTGTACATCTGTGCTGATGTTTATTGTCGAGATGAGATGCACACCATGGAACTCAGCATCCTGGAAGCCCTCAAATTTGACATCAACATTCCTGTCGCATATCATTTTCTGCGCAGATATGCAGCGGTAAGAATGAGAAGGCACATCTTCATTCTTCCACTGCTGAGTTAGTTTCCTCTATACCTGGAGTGGCTGCCTGAGTAGTAGGAAAGGGACAACTGGGGGCAGGGGAGTTTTCTCCTTCTGTCCAACCTCCTAGGTTAAAGGTTGGCAATCTTTATGAAGTAGCAGGGGTGGGGGGCAAGTTGCAGATTTCCATGGTGTGCCTATAAGATTTTGAGGTACGGGCAGAGTAGCAGGGGGCAGAAAGGATTCTCTGATCAGGAAGGGACACAGAAGTTTTGGGGGGATGCTGGCAATGTTTTCTTTCTTTGCCTGAATATTGGTTACAAGGGAGGTCACTTTATAATTATTCATTGTATTATACAAGTATGTTATGTACTTTTCTCTTTGTGTGTTTCATAGGTTATAATTTTTTTAAGATAAGGGAATGGGTTTTAGAGTATAGAGTACCTCCTAGGGTAGAACCAGGTGCAAAATCACATTTGGAGAACCTTGGCTTTTCAAAGGATGACTCATACAGAAAGGGGAGGTGGGAGGGTACAGAAAACATACTTGATAATTTGGGTAAAAACCCTAAAGGTGGCAAATGCCACTGCCAATTTCAGAATCCCCCCTAGAGTCTGCTTTTACAGGTAGGGAATTTAGCATGAGTCATGGTGAGAAGACAGGGGTACATTACTCAAGCACAGAGTAATTTAGGCTTTGGTTGAGATAACTAGAGAGGGAGTCTTCTGCTTGGTGCCAGTTTTCTGAATTGCTTTCTGATCCTGTCTTCTTCCTGCTTTTAGTGTATCCGTACCAGCATCAAGACAGTGACCTTGACCCGCTTCATCTGTGAGATGACCCTGCAGGAATATGACTATATCCAGGAGCGGGCTTCCAAGCTAGCTGCTGGCTCCTTCCTCCTGGCCCTCTACATGCAGAAGCTCCCATGTTGGGTAAACACTTGCATGGGGATGGTAGGGATTTAAATACACAGGCTGGGCTCAGGGGAAAGGTATAAATTTGGGCCATGGGAAGCTCTCAGGGACAAAACTGCCATATGCTTACAGTTATGAATTCTTTAACACCTGGACAATTTAAAGGCAAGAGTTTCTACATCAATGGTTTTAAAATATTTGATTTCATTTTTCTTATTCAAAGTACCCTTTGTTCCAAAACAAACAAACAAAGTTTACCTAAAAACCTAGTATCACAAAATAGACTGTAAAGTTATTTTGGTTGCCATAGGAGGTAGGGGTAGCCCACTTGCTATCCCTGACCCTATTCCCTTCCTGTTCCTTGCAGTCCCCTCAGCAAAGTTTGCCCTTGAGGGAGCTCATTGTAAAAGGCTTTGGAAAGCACTGACCCTGGACTGGGCATGGTGGCTCACACCTGTAATCCTAGTACTCTGGGAGGCCAAGGCAGGAGGATTGCTTGAGCTCACAAGTTTGAGACCAGCCTAAGCAAGAGCAAGACCAGCCTCAGCAAGAGTGAGACCTTTGTCTTTGCCAAAAAATAGAAAAAAAATTAGCTGGGCATGTCAGCACATGCCTATAGTTCCAGCTACTCAGGAAGCTGAGGCAGGAGGATTGCTTGAGCCCAAGAGTTTGAGGTTGCTGTGAGCTAGGCTGGCACCACTGTACTCTAGCTTGGGCGACAGAGCTGAGAATCTGTCTCGGAAAAAGGAAAAGAAAAGCAATGACCCAAAGAGTAGACGAGTAGACTAGTGAAAGCAGCCATCTGTGTGTATATAAGAGGGTACTCAGAGGCACGACTATAGTGCTGGCTTCTGAAGAGGAAGGCCCCCAAAGCTTCATGCCCCAATACAAATAAAACTCAAATTTGATGCACTGTCAATTTTATGAGAAGTTATGGGTAAAAGCCACTTTAGAGAACTTTGAATTCTTACTGATATGTGTAACATGTAATACAAGTAGAAAGAGTATACTTGCAAATACAGCCCCTCTGCCCAACCACTCCTAAGCCCCTCATACCTAGCAATCCTGGAACCACTACTGATGGGAGGAGTTCTGCATGCTGAGAAAGAATCGCTTAAATAGTGTGTCAACTTATTCAAGTCATATTGAAATTTCTTGGAACAGAGAAAGCATTCAATAGATGGTAGTGATGATGAAAAAGAATAAGTAATAATGACTAGCATTTATTGAGTGCTTAGACAGTGATCTGAGCACTTTGTATATTAACTCATTTAATCTTCATAACAACCCTACAAGATCAGTACTGTTATTTTACAGATAAGAAATAACTTCCCATGTTTTCACATTTTTTGGGAGGCGGACCTAGGCTTTGGGAACTAGGAGTGATGTTCACAGTTTAAACCTACTGTATAATCAGAATGGGTGTGGACATAGCTCTGGAGCTAAGGTTCTGGAGGCCTCATGCTGGGCCAGGCTTTGACCCTTGGATAATGCAGAAGTCTAGTAAGTCCTGCCGGGAACAGTTGAGGGATTTAGGGTAGCAAATTATGTGCCAATTAGGATAGAAATATTTTGGTGTTTTAACACTTGGTGGCTAAACTAGTGTGTATCAGCTAAATATCAGCCCTAATCTGAACTCAGGTAGTCTAGCTCCATAGTCTTCTGTGTGTTATGTATATTTCCCCTCCTGTAGATATAGAAGGCTTCACAGAAGAGGTTACTTTTGAGCTGGGTCTTAAAAGGTAAGTCAGAATTTGTGCATTCTAGGTAGAGAGAACAATAATTAAAAAGACATGAAGGTACTAAGGAAGGAGTGTGATGTGTTTGGGGCAGAATAAGACATCTCCTACAGATAGAGCATAGGGTATGTTAATGGGAGAGATGGGAGAGATGCTAATGATGTGAATAGTGAGAGATGGGACCAGGAGGGTAGGTTGGGGTCAGATTGTGAGGGACCCTATTTGCCATGCTGAGAAATCCACTTTATACTAAAGTATTGAAAGTTTTTTAGGCTGGGAAGTGACATAATCCTGTTTGTGTATTTTAGAAACAGTCCTGGGATAGCAGTATAGAAGGTATATTAGATAAGAGAGATCATAAAGTTGGGAATACCAGCAAGTAGGCTGTTGTAACAGTCAAGGTGAAGCATTGAGGGCCTGAACTGACACAGTGGCAGTGGGGCCATTTAATCTTATTTAACACACCAAATATACTGTGTTACCCCCGTGTGTTATTCCCCTGCCCACCAATGACTGTCTTTTGCCTATGGCAGTGCTTTCCAAATAGTATTCACAGGAGCCCTGGGTTTCCTGCAGAAGTATCTTGGGGCCATATAAAATGTAAAGGGATCCAAATTGGTGGGCTTATTAGCCCCTGCCACACTTCTAGGTAAGATATTTGGGCTTCTAGGTAACACACTTGAAAAAAAAAAAAAAGGAGTTCAGAGAAAATAATTTAAGACATTTTTAGGAAACCACTGGTTTAGAGAATAAATCCTCTTCTTTTCTCTGCCTGTTGAGCTCCCACTTGACTTTTGCCACTTATTGCAGACATGCACTACTCTGTGAAGCTTTCTGTGACCCTCCTGGACAGAGTTTGTGGGTCCTGATGCTCTGTTCCTCCAGTATTCCACGCTCACTTTAATCATAGCACTTATCACACATTTTGAAACTTTTATGTTTGCATGTCTGTCTCCTCCATTAAACTACTCCTTGAGCAGGTGCCTCATTCATCTTTTTATTCGCAGCATCCTACATAGGGCTTGGCAGTATTGATCCTAGCTAACATCATTTGGACTCCTACTATGTGCTAGACTCTGTTTTATATGATATATTTACTTACTTTCTCTCTCTCTCTCTCTCTCTCTCTCTCTCTCTCTCTCTCTCTCTCTCTCTCTCTTAATCCTATGATGTAATTACTGTAATGATATCCATTTGGCAGATTGAGAAACTGAGGACCCAAGAGGTTAAATAACTGGCTCAAGGCCATGCTGTTAGTGAAGCTAGAATTTGAACTGAAGCAGTTTGCCTCCAGAAACTTTGTTCTTAAACACTGATATACTGCTTCAGCCACATAATAGGCATTCTTAAAGTTCAGTGTGAAAATGAATGTGTAGAATGATAGCTGTTAGAGCCAGAGAGGAGGGACAACAACCTTAAGTTCCTGTTGGCTATTGAGCTGAGACTTAAAGTTTGTTCTGGGGTTTTCCTGGCCTTTGGATCTGAACCTGAGAGAGAGTAAATGACAAAATCAGTCCTGTTCCCAGGGCTAATCTCTAACTGGTATGTGTGGATATAGCCATCACAGTAGTTTGTTACTGGAACCCATTCTTCTTGATAGTACCCTATAATTATTGATCAATATCTGTATTATATGAGTCTTTGAAAAGTTTTGAATATCATCCCTGTTTAAACCATGGATGGGAAGTTTGGACTTGAGGTAGCAGAGATGGAGAAGAGTATGCTTCCTGTAGTAGAAGTCACTATTCACATTGCTTCTTCCAGATTCCTACCCTGGAGTATTATAGTGGCTACAAGGCCTCAGAGCTTCACCCATTGGTCAGGCAGCTGAACATCCTGCTGACTGTGAGTTCTCGTGCTAGGCTGAACACTGTGTATTCCAAGTATTCTCACCAGTAAGTACCAAGCCCTGGCTGATGCTGGGTTTATGCTCATTCATGGGGAAGCTTTAAAACACTAGGCCTAGACTAGCCTTATTTAAGACAAAAGGATTTAGATAATTTTCACCTTCCTTTCTACTCTAGGGTTAAAGCAAGATAGGAAACCAACAGCCCTGTGTCCCACTTGTTTTATGCAGCCTGTTCGGCCTTGGCCTATTTTACACTGAGCAGACCCTCCTTCCTTTCACAGGGTCTTCTTTGAAGTTGCCAAAGTACCCCCCGTGGACATAATGAAGCTGGAGGAGATGTTGAACTGCTAATTAAGAAGCTTGAGGGCCTGGCATTCGGGCAGCAGTCACAGGGCCAGCCAGGCATGTTAATAGGCTATATTTATTTTGTGCTTGAATTTGTCTTTTGGTCACTTTTCTTCATTTTCCTACTTTGTTTGTCTTTTCCCAAACTGATAATGTAAATATGTAAGTAGTTTTTTTTTAATGAAAGAGAAAAAATTATCATATTTGAAATTTAATAAAAGAAATTAATGATTGTTAAAACAGCTCACGTCCCCTTTTTTTGCTCAGGAGCACCATGCATAACCCAGGAATTTCTTTTCTTCCTAGCAAGGGCTTTGCCTTAGGGTCTAGCTTACCCAACATCATCTTCTGTTCGGATGTTTTCTCCTCATGGGAAGAGGAATTGAGCTAAGTGTGAACTGATAGATGGGTCTATAGAAGGAGTATTCTGGGTGGTGGTGCTCAGTCCAAGGAGAAAGCCCCTACCCAACAGGCAGGCCTCAGTGTTCAGAGCTGGTGCAACTGATAGTGTAGGCTAATCCCCTTTGGTCCTAATCCCAGGTTGCTTTCTTTGCTTCTTCCTAGATGATGAAAAGGTGGGGATGCAAATTTCAACCCAAATGTAGCCCTACTTTGGCAGTTAGGTGGCTTTCCAGAGTCTAAATTTGAAAAATTGCTTAGAGTAATGTACTGAAATCATTTTTGGCCCTTGTCTTCTGCCAAGAGAAGAAATTTCTACCTGTGAAATACGTAAGATGTCTCACAATGCAAGCATCAACCACTTGCCTGATCTTTAATTCATACTGCCCTAAGAGGTTCTGCTCTTTCTCTCTCTATCCTAACTTTGGGGAGATGTTGTGCTGGGACAGTTCATTTACATTGTTAGCAGAGGAGCTGAACATCCTCTATGCCACTGCCTCAGTCCTACCTCTAGAACCTCTCCATAATCCAGCAAGTAATGTCTGCCACAGCAGGGAACCTTCAGGATTTTACTCTAGTACTATGGCTGGCAACTGTTCTGGTTGGTCTGGGGGCCTGTGTTACCACTTGTCAAATATTTTGAATATCAGTCCTAGGTTGGACATCTGGTGGAGGGGACAGTCAATGAAGAAGTTATGGGAAAATGCCTCTCCCATTCCTCCTTCCAACTTGCTTTGACTTGAAGACTAGACATCATTAGGTTCCATCCTACCCCATTCTACTACATCGCAAGATGACTAAAGGGTATAGCCAGAGAGGTCCAAGCTGCTTGACAGTGATTCTGCTGGCATAGCCAACTTTGCATACATGTGCTAAAAGCACTGGGCTGGAAGCCACTTTGCAAAATCTCCAGCCTTACTAAAAAGAAGTGTCTTGAGCCACTTTTTAATTTCGAACTTCAAATCAGGAGAAAAAATTATTAACTAGTTGAATTATTTTTCCCTTTTTGTTTAGCCCTGTTTTTAGAGGTCCTAATGAAACTATTTTTGTTGTTGTCATTGCAAATGCCTCAAAATTTATTTTGTATTCATCACTACTTCAAAATTAAGATAGCTATTTGAGCTGGATTTTGTTATTTTGACACTGAAAACTGTCAGGTGCCTAGACTCGGCTGCTCTGCATCCTCGCGTGCGGCCACCTGCTGTCCAGGCCTGCCCTCCAGCAGAGCTGGCTACGCAATCTTGATTGGATACTTTTTGAATCCCACTGTTGCTGATTGGATATTAAACCCTGTTGCTGATTGGATGTTAAAACTTGTTGCTGATTGGATGTTAAAGCTTATTGCTGATTGGACACTTTTTGAGTCCTACCAAGGGTATAAAAACAGGAGACAAGGAAGGAGGGTCAGAAGTCGGCTGAGCCTGCTGAATGAATAAAGACTGTTCTCCGACTCTGCATGTGCTGCTCGGTTCTTTTCCTGATCAAGAGCTGTAACACAAGAGCTCTAACACTAGCTGTACACCTTGCAGCAACAATTTAGTGCCTTATGAAGCACATCTATTTATCGAGAATTTGCTTTTATATTTTGATGACTCTAGTTCATTATGACTGGCTTTCCTTATAACATTATGTATTTTTACCAGTTTTATTGACATATAATTCACATACCATACAATTCACCCATTTAGAGTGTATAATTTAATGGTTTTTAGTAGATTCACAGAGTTGTGCAACCATTACTATAATCAAATTCGGAACATTTTCATCACCTCAAAAAAGAAACCCCAAACCCACTAGCAGTCAATCTCCATCCCCCCTACCTCTGTGATCCCTAGGCAACCACTAATTTACTTTATATCTCTATACATTTTCCTATTAAAGATATTTCATATGAATTAAATAAAATCATACAATATGCTGCTTTGTTTGTCTGACTTCTCTCACTTAGCATAAATTTTTCAAGGGTTATCTATGTTTTAGTTTGTATCAGTACTTCATTTTCTGTTATTGCCAAATAATATTCAATTGTATGGATATACATATATTTTGTTTATTCAGTCATCAGTTGGTAGAAATTTCGGTTATTTCCAGTTTTTGCTATTGGGAATAATTCTGCTATAAACATTCATGTGTAAGTGTTTGTGTAGACATCTGTTTTCATTTCTGTTGGGTATCTACCTAAGAGTGGAATTGTCAGATCGTATGGTAACTATGTTTAACCATTTGAGTAGCTGTTGGATTGTTTTCCAAAGTGGCTGCATCATTTTACATTCCTATAAGCAGTGTTTGAAGGTGCTAATTTATCTACATCCTCTCCAATACTTGTTATTATCTGTCTTTTTGATTATAGCCATCTTAGTGGATGTCAAGTGGCATGTTATTGTGGTTTTGATTTGTATGTCCCTACAAACATATTTACCACTTCACCTATGACAAGTATATTTATTTCCTGCCTTTTTAAATTTTTTTTAGAGTAGGCTGCATACATTATGGTATGCATTTTCTAAATATAAGGGCACGTTTTCTGTTTCTTTCTTTCCTTTCCAGCATATTATGGGGGTATAAATGTTAAGGTTATGTATATAACCCATGCCCCCCTCCCCCCTCGAGTCAGAGCTTCAAGTGTGACCATTCCTCAAACATTTCACATCTCACTCATTGTATTTGTATATACCCATCCCCTCCTTCCCCATCCAACCTGCCCAACAACCGATGAATGTTTTTATTATATGTCCACTTAGGTGTTGATCCATTAATACCAATTTGCTGGTGAGTACATGTGGTGCTTGTTTTTCCATTCTTGAGATACTTCACTTAGAATGGGTTCAAGCTCTATCCAGGAAAATACAAGAGGTACTATATCACCATTGTTTCTTTTTTTTTTTTTAACTGGGCATTTTTTTATTATTTTAGCGTATTTTCAATATAAAAAATGAATAATTAAGTTGGTTCAATTTATAAATCCTAAATAAACACAAGATAGGTACATGTCCATGGGAAAAAGTTTCAAAGGACATATGACAAAATTTAACCATGAAAGCCTGTGGTGGGACTATACATGCTTTTTATTTTCTTCTCCCTGCTTTTTGTATTTTCTAAATTTTCAATTGACTCTACTCATCAATAGGAAGAGGTTACTTCCTCCTTTCCTCTGTCTTAGATTGTGCCTTATTATTCTGTGTTGCACCTTTTTTTTAAAAAATGTGTTTCTTCTGTGAATTTCTTAAGAGCAAGTACTGCCTTGTTTATCTTTATAGCCAATGTAGCTGGCATAAAGGAGGATTCAATAAATGTTTACCTGATTGAATGAATAAGTGCATCCACCTCTGGCTTAACCAAATCAGAACAAAATTCATATACAGATTTTTTTGCCTTGGCTTTAGTACCTGATTTTTCAAAAAGTAATTCAATAAAGCATCATAAAGACTTCTCATATTTTAACTCTTCTCTATTAATATACTAACCTTTGGATGACATACATTCTTATATTTTATTCAAGTGACATTTACATTTCTTTTCAGCTTATTCTGACCCAGAAGTGGCTTTTAGCATTGCTTGACTATAGCCCTAAGATCATACTTGGATGTTTTCCAGATTTCTTAAATTGAATGAAGGTTATGTTCAAAAATCCTTGACTCTTGTCCTCTCTGGCTTGGAATTGTTTCTTTTTTTTCTTTTTTTTTTTTATTTCGGCATTTATGGGGTACAGATTTTAAGGTTTCAATAAATGCCCATTTCCCCCCCACCCCCCAAAAGTCTGAGTCTCCATCATGACCATCCCCTACATGGTGTGCATCTCACTCATTATGTATGTAATACTGCCCCCTCCCCTCCCCCCCCCCTGCCAATACCCTATTACTGTAGTACCTATGTGTCCACTTAGGTGCTACTCAGTTAATACCAGTTTGCTGGAGAATATATCTGGTGCTTGTTTTTCCATTCTTGGGATACTTCACTTAGTAGTATGGGTTCCAGCTCTAACCAGGACAATATAAGATGTGCTATATCACCATTGTTTCTTAGAGCTGAATAGTACTCCATGGTATACATATACCACATTTTATTAATTCAGTCATGAATTGATGGGCACTTGGGGGGCTTCCACAACTTAGCAATTGTGAATTGTGCTGCTATAAACATTCAAGTGCAGGTGTCTTTTTCATAAAGTGACTTTTGATCTTTTGGGTAGATGCCCAGTAGTAATTGCTGGATAAAGATGGTAGATCTACTTGTATCGCTTTAAGGTATCTCCATATTGCTTTCCACAGAGGTTGAACTAGTTTGCAGTCCCACCAGCAGTGTAGGAGTGTTCCTATCTCTCCACATCCATGCCAACATTTATTGTTTGGGGACTTTTTGATAAAGGCCATTCTCACTGGAGATAAGTGATATCTGACTGTGGTTTTGATTTGCATTTCCATGATTGTTAGAGATGTTGAGAATTTTTTAATATGTTTGTTGGGCATTATTCTGTCGTCTTTTGAGAAGGTTCTGTTCATGTCCTTTGCCCATTTTTTGATAGGGTTGTTTTTTTTCTTGCTGATTTTCCTGAGTTCTAAATAGATTTTAGTTATCAGCCCTTTGTCGGCTGTGTAGCTTGCAAAAATTTTCTCCCATTCTGTGGGTTGTCTGTTTGCTCTCTTGACAGTTTCTTTGTTGTGCAGAAGCTTTTTAATTTGATCATGTCCCATTTATTTATTTTTGTTGCTGCTGTGATTGCTTCTGGGGTCTTCTTCATAAATTCTTTGGTAGGCCAATGTCTAGAAGAGTATTTCC